GCAGCCCTTTCGGTCCAGGCCCACCTTGGGTTGCCTAATGTTGGAGTAGAATACCTCTGCTACGCGCCGTTCGTTGGATGAGGCTGGATCTCTATTAAATTAAGAAAGGAATTGAAAACACCGGAATCAAAAGTTACAACAATTATCTGAGTTTACTGGTAGGAAATCAAACACATATACAAGTTATACAGAGTACTCCGGGTACCCCGGGCTTTTAGATTTGTGATGCGATGCGGACAAATGCGTCAGGACCCGCCAACTCATCAAACCAAAAAGAAATTGGACTTCAGGTTTGTGATGTGATACGGACACAGTTCTCAGGACCTGCCACTCACCAAACCCAAAAGCAATTTTACACACACAAACGTCAGTATTTCTATCTGTCTTTGGGGCGGAGATTTGTCGATTCTTCCTTCCCACTTTTCTCCCAAGCGAATCAGAGAACCCCTGGGGAGGAGCTGTTTAAACTGACCACCTCCCCCAAGTGCCCTGACTGGCTGGATTCGCTTCTGGCCGGGTTCAATAGTTCTCTCCAGGACTTGAAATTCCAAAGTCCCCTAAGGTCAAAAGTCAATTCTTATCTCCGTCCCGATCTCCCCTCCCTACCTTTTCCAGGGGATCTTTTCCTATTTTACGATGTCTTTAACGACTTAGAAACAGCATCTGGCTCTTAGTGGTGATAAGGATCAATGTTGGTGTGTGAAACACAGAATCTCTAAGTCAGTGAATTTAAAAGTGAGAATAACATTCTTTTTCTAAGTGATTATCAAAACCCGTTCAAACAATATATGTTTACTTCAATACAGTGTAGAATCATATCTTCTTACTTCACTAACGGGCAGCGGCGGCGAGGGCTCTGGCGTGGCTCGTCACCATGACGACCACAGCATATCACGAGCATGTACGCCCGCTCTCAGAGTATTTCTCAGAGTGGCAGCGCGTGTGTCTGATGGACAGATGGATGAGCAGGCTGATCAGCAGAGGATACACTCTGCAGCCAGCCTCTCCCCCCCCCCCCCCCGCAGTTCAATGAGATACAGGAAACACTCCAGTCAGGGAACAGTGTCTTGTGCTCCATTCAGAGCTGCAGGAACTCCTGTTGAAAAAGGCAATTTCCAGGGTTCCTCAAAGGGAGGAAAATCAGGGGTTTTTACTCCCGTTATTTTCTAATCCCGAAAAAGACCGGGGGAATGAGACCCATCCTCGATCTGTCAGTATTCCACATGCTGATGATCAAACAGGTGCTGGAATGTGTTCACCAGGACGACTGGCTCACTTCCATAGACCTGAAGGATGCATACTTCCACGTACCCATCATCCCGAAACACAGGAAATTCCTGCGTTTCTCATTTCAGGGAATATCAGACCAGACAATCGTTTGCCGTTCGGATATTCCCTGGCTCCTCGCATTTTTTCAAAGTGTGTAGAGAAGGCTCTGGAGCCGCTACACAGAGGAGGGATGAGAGTGTGGTTTTATCTGGACGACGTGCTATTGCTGGCTCGCTCCAGGGAGGAAGTCGCTTTACAGACGGTCTCGCATCTGTCAAGCCTAGGTTTCATAAATTGGAAGAAGATCTGTCCTCTTCCCTCCCAGACAATCATTTATCTGATTGTCTGAGAGGGGAGTGGAATTAAACTCAGCCAGCATGAGAGCGCGGCTCTCGCGGCAGAGAGTGGAGAAACTGACAGCTCTCCTCCGGCGTATGACACCCCGCAGCGTGGTGACAGCCCTCTCCGTGATGCAGCTGCTCGGCATGGTGTCAGCTGGTCACGTGGTGATCCCCCTGGGTCTCCTCCACAGGGGGAGACTCCAGAGGTGGTTCATTCGCTGCAGAAGCCTGCTGTTTTTAATCTATCGATTAATAAACTACAGAGCTCGCTAACTAAGCCGGCTGCCACTAACCTGTCGGTTAGTAGACAGCAGGGCTCGCTGCAGAGCTCGCGGCATTCCTCTGTCCCAGATATGCCTCCTACACACGGTCATAATAAACCCACGAGCGCCGTTATAACAACTCGTGTGGACAGCACTGCACACACCACCACTCATCCCCTGAGCGTGTACGCGCCTTATGATAAGAGCCGGAGTGAAATGCAACGTGTGGAGGCTCCCTCGCAGCCCTTTCGCCTCACGGGCAGCGGCAGCAAGGGCGATGGCGTGGCTCGTCACCATGACGATCACTACAGCACATCACTAGCAACAGGGCCACGGCAGCCTACCTCAATTGCCAGGGAGGAGTACGATCTGCGCAGCTTCTGAACGCAGCCAGGCGGCTGCTGTTCTGGACGCGCAGGCACACACTTGCTCTCCTATTATTATATGTTTTCCCACCAGTTCCACTGACCCCTCGGTTCCCGGACCGAGTGCGGGAGAAGCGGCTATCAGCGGTCCTGATAGCCCCGGAGCGCACGGGAGCGTCCTGGTGTCCATGCTTACAGCGTACGCTAGTTTTGGCCAGCTGACAGATTGCTCGTGTTTCCGCGAAAATACTTATGGCAAACGAGCATTGACCACATCGAGCTCTGTAGATTAGATGTTCTCTACCGGCGGATCTCTGTGTGCACGGCGCTGCAGCAGTGCAGCGAGTCTGTGAACGAGATGCCCCGCCCCCCACACAGACGAAAGAGAGAGAGAGAGAGAAAGAGAGATCTCCGCACCGAACAAGTAAAGGCCCTGACACACCAAGCCGATTTTGGCCGTCGATAGATGTCTGGCCGTCGATGAGCGTCCTGTCGCCCTACTCAGATTGGTGTGTCCCGCACCGTCGTGTCTTTTCGGCCGTGCCGACCCCTTCCGCTGCCGGCAAAATAAATCACTCTGATTGGCTGTTCAGCTTAGCGAAACACAATTTGCCTGAATGGGAGTGGAGCAGTACAGTACTTAAGTAAATGTACTTTGTTACTGTCCACAATCTGCCTAGAAGTATTTTAATGTTGTAGCTGTTCAAGATGGTCATTTAAAAATGTTTTAAAAATATACTGTTAGTAGTTAAACCAATAATAATGCTAGGGCTGCAACTGACAGTTATGTAGGCATATTTTAATCTGTTCTTAACGCTATGTGATTAAAAGAATAAACACAAATAGCAGGATAGGCACACATATTTGCTATATCTTGCCCCACTGAAAAGGCACTGCACCGATACTGTTAAAATATTGGCATAGTTCGTCCCTGTGCTGCTTGGCTCGAGCTGTAGCATGTAGCTATTTGTTGTTTGTATATATCACGCAGTCTGTCTTCTGGTTGCCTCTTTTGATTCACCACCTCCAACACAAGTACAAACACAAATTATATCTGGAGTAATTCTCAGGCAATGTCCAACTTAAAATGCAGTCTTCTTGTTAAGGCTGAATAATCCAAACGAAAGCAAAAATAGTAAGTCCAAAGTCACTTCACAAAAAAAAGGTAATCCAGTTCAAACGAGAACACTGCCAGTTGAGGAAAAAACTCCAAAAAGAAGGGACTCACTGACTGCCGAAAAGGGAAATCCTATTCCTTTTCACTCTGGGCCTGTGATGTCAGTCTTTGCTGGTCCTCAGGCTCTTTGGGTGTCAATGTTCCTAAAAGCCGCCATACAATATCCCCAACCTCCACCTTTCAACCCCTTGGCAAACCTTTTCTTTTCCCCATTAAACAAACAATTCCCTCTGCTTTTCTTCCCTTTGGGCCCCGCCCCCTTTTCCTCACCTGTATCCAATGCACCCCTGATTAGCACACCTGATTCCCCTGTGACTAAGGCGCCGTTTACACGAGGAGAAAACTGCTTGTATCTGCATAGTTTTGCGTGCGTATAGCCCTATTATTTACACGAGGCCGATAGAAACTGACCCCACAAACGATAACGGGTCCCAAGGTGGATAGATTTGCAAACGAAACGCTCTGGGGGGTCAACCGAGTCCGTGTAATCACCTCTATACGAATATTTCCCGAAAAAATAGCGAAAAAAAAAAAAAAATAGCACCTCTCCTGCTCACTGCTGTAGCAACCATCAAAAATAGCTGTGTTAATTAAACGCACAAGGGGTTCTTGAATGAAATAATATTATAAAAGGCAAACCAGAATTGTTAACGCCCAATATACTCCTTAAACAAAATAAACAGAGTCAGATGTCATGCATTGATCCATTATATTGACAAAGGAGCGATCTCACCCGGTGTTTGTAGAGAATATCTCTCTTTCTGAGCCGTCCTCTCGATGCAATATCCACAGAGACGTGCTTCTTGGTTTCTTTCAGTTAACTTCCCCGTTGCATTTATCCATATGCTGAGGAAATGACTATATCCCGCTGAATACCAGCAATCGCCACACACACTGACTTCCTCCTGTCAGTAGCTACTGCTAGTGCTACTGCTACTGACCATGCTACAGATATTAGTGCAAAAATATACAGCTCCTCTACCACAACCATCAGCAACAACAGATTCGGTTTCTTTCAGTTTCTTTCAGTTTCAGTTTCAGTTTCAGGGCTTAAACAGAAGGGTAGCCATGGCAACATTGCTGCGGGGCTGCTCCAGGCTGCTCTTCTTCGCGGCTTTTGGTGTATTTTGGCGGAAGTTACAGCGCCACTTACAGTCCCAGCATATGTACTACAGCGTTTCCAGCGGCCTCGTTTAAACAGACACGTTAAATGAAACAAATGCATGTGAACGGAAGACTTTTTTGAATACGCATACTGTGCATAAACGCAAACGGTCCCGTGTGAGCGGGGCCTAACTGAGTGAAAGCAGGAGGGGAGACAGGGACAGCAGAAAATGTCTACAGTGATGGCTCTGTCACACGGTGATGACCTCTTTTGTATGCCAAACCCAAAATTATCATCGCAACATGCTAACTTTGGGTTTGTTTTTGATATTCCAAATCCATTGGCTCCATAAAGAAAATAAGACCTGTGACAAACACATGTTAATATTACAACAGCATAATCTCCACATATTAACACCATCTTTATGTGTATTTTGTATTTGTCTGGCTCATTGTTCACCGATCACTTATCTGTTTTCAGGGCATACGTTCAGAGGATTCTTCCATCATTTGACTCACTGCAGCCTGATCCTGGAGTACTGTCCAATAATCAGAGGGGGCCTGGCTTACTCAGTGCTGCTGGTCACATTGAGGAGGACAACCCAGTGTTGTTGACTCAGGCAGAACATTTTAGATTCAGCCCTAATGAGACATTCCAGACAGACATGATGTTTCCTCAACAACAAATGACCCGTCGGGAAGGAGTTGATACTGAAAGCAGCTATCAGACTGTAGTTATCATGGAAGAAGACCCAGCAGTGACAGAGGCAGCCACTGACCTCTTTGAGAGGCATCTCACTGTATCAACTTTGCTGAAGTACCAGAAGGGGGCGCTACATATTCACAGAGGAGGCCATTTCTTTTCTACTAGAAACCATGATGTCATACTGGTTGGTCACGGCAGCATTAGTGCCAATGGAACAGTCCAGCTAGCTGGTCATGGCCCAGAGGAACTTGCCAGATTGGTGTCGAGCATCTTTGGTCCTCTTAGCTCCATCAGCTTCATCAGCTGCAGCCTTGGGACTGACCGGCACTTCATGTTACAACTGCTACAAGCTCTGCGCTCTCTCGGTGTGGAAACAAAGCTACACCTTTACAACTCCTTCCTGTCTGTAAGGTCTGACGGAGAGATAATGACGAGGACTGATGGGGTCTGGAGGTCTCAGGACCAGAGCGCAAGAGTCACAGCTGAACTGGACCAAAGAGGCGACCTGCTCACCAAAGTACAACTTGGCTGTGCAGGGCCAGTGATCTCTGAGTATAAAGGAAAGGTTTTGTATATCCAGACATTGGAGTGGCCAAGCCACCCTCAAATGTTTGTTCCGATGGAGCTGCGCAAAAAGTACCCCTCTATCGACTGCCTGGAGGGGCTTACTTGGAGCTTATTCTTTGAGGAGAAAGAAAGAAGGCGTGCTCCTGATTACGTCCCAGACACAAGACTCCTTAGAGCAATTTGGCTTTCAGAGCCAGAAGACGAAGCCAACATTGAGTTTAAGCACATCACTAACATTCAGGATCTCCTTGTGGAGATACGGTACAATGCTAAAGAGGAAGTTGCATCAGACCTGTACTATGTTCTAAATGAATGCATTTACAAAGTACACAGGAAAAATCTAAGCGTTAGTCTGGCGGGCAAGTTCATGAGCACCAAGAACCAAGCTGAAGCTGGAAACTTCCGTCAGAGCTTCAACGATCAGCAGGGGGAGGCCTCCCTGCAGGAGCTGAGGCAGGGTCTCAAAGCTTCCAAATTCACTGAGTTCTGTCGCCAGACCTTCCAGTTCCAGCAGTGTAACTACAACTGTGAGAGGTGGGGGCGCTTCTTCATGACTGCAGTGTTTTCCGCATCGGTGTGTAACTTCAGAACCTTCTCGCTTTTCCTCATGAGCGTCATAGGATGTGAAGTAGGCCGCTCCCGAGGGACTGACAGCGCCCTCTGCACAGCGTTTGTGGGAGCAGACCACCCCATGGAGACTGACCAACCCTGGCCCGGGCAGCTGCGCCGAGGGTTCTACGGTTGCACTTTGGAGAACTTCGAGATGGCTCCGGTCAGCAGGCAGATCTGGCTGGATGAAGTGGTTTCAAAGGAAAACGCCCTGTACATCAAATCCAAGCAGATGATGAATGCTGTGGACCATGACGATCAAACTGAGCTGGAAATCTTTGGGAAGGTCAAAGTCATGAATAAGTACGTGTTTTCGTCCTATCTGGAATTCTTCCGAGGTACACCTGAGGGAAAGAAACTCAAGATGGGATGTGCTCCCTCTTTCAATGAGGATTTAAATCCATAATCCTGGTTTAATGTCTGATAACCGAAGTTCATCTCTTTGTGTTTTTGTGGCATAGTAGGCTCTTGTATTCTTGCATGCATAAAGCTGCATTTACATGATATGCGGTAAAACGTCTCTGCGCTGACCTTGCCGTTGTGTTTCTTTGGAGAGAGTGCCACCTGACCATGAAGAGCCAGTGTTTCTGTTAGAAAAAATAGCCTGTCAAAATGACCGGTAAGATTTCAATTTACCAGACAAATGGGAAATATTCCATCAAATATTCTCTGTATTTATGATTGAAAACAATTGACAAAGAAAACGATATGAAGGAAGTCATTATCAAGGCATGTAGATTTATGTTTTATTGAAATGCATTGAGAAATTCAAGCCTGCAACACCTCGGAGCACTGTCAGGGGTCTAGTGCTATTTGTACCGAAGCACACTTGCTGTGGCTCATTTTGAAATATATGTAACCACTGTCAATGAACTCTCTCCAGCCAGAATAGACAGGAAAGTAAGAAGTAAGTGAGTAAATGTCTGATCACCAGGGTGCATCAGAGCCGCTTCCCAACTTTTTTTGTAGTGCATACGCTGTTGTATAACTAAACAATGTGAATGTGTACGAGAGATGATAAACACTTATTATTCATTTGAATTTGCCGGACTTCTACAGATCATTCAGGTCAAAGTCCGGTAAATACGGGCTAACAGAAACACTGGTATTCGCTCATCTGCACGCTGAACGTTGAGCAAATGGCCTATCATGTGAATGCAGCTTGTGTTCTGATATGAAACTGTAATAAAGCTTTCCTGATTAGTTTGCTGGCAAAGCCTCAGGTTTGATTGTTGCTAGAATAGTGGGCATTCTTCTAATGTGCTAAATTGAAGCATTTAAACTTTCATTTAAGCCCCCCTTTAAATGCATTTCTCTATTATATTTTCAGACCCCAACCAACCAACCAGTAACCCTGTTACTCATATTATCAGAATAAAACAGATTAATTTCCTCTCTTTAGTTAACTATTTGTCCGTGCCTTGGCCGCAGCATTACATTCTGCAGCTAGCATTCATTCCTGAGGTAAAGGCTAACATTAGCATTGATTTGCAACCCTGTTATGTAATTTAGAGTAATGACAGTTACGGCCCGTCCACACAGCAGCGTTAAAAAAATCTTGGAGGTGGGCGTATCTGAAGCTTGAGGATTTTTTTTTTGAGGAAGCAAAAAAGCCCGAAGTAAACTGGATATAAACTCCCCAAACAGGCGAAAACCTACCACTGTCTCTGCCACCTCCCTCCATGCCTGGCTCCTCCGGTTTGTATCCCGGTAGGTAAATAGGGACTGGTCATAAAGCACCGGGTGATTCCCTACCGCTAATTTCTCCTCTATTTTTTGGAATATGAGGAAATGACCTGCGGTATGTCTCTCCCAGCATACACGCGGTTTGATTGGCTAGCGCTTGAACTGTCAGATTTGCATAAAAGGGATTTGATTGGCTGACGCTTCCACCTCAGCTTCAAAAGTTGAACATTTCTCAACTTTGAATCCTGAAAATCCTGAAAATCTCCGCTCTGCTGCCCACAATGCAGTTCGGCGAAAAGTGAGGCAAAGTGACGTCACCCCATTCAAAGTGAATGGGCAGAAGTGTTCCAAGATTTTTTAACGCTGCTGTGTGGACGGGCCGTTACAGTGCTGCATCTCCTGCAGTGAAATGTATTATCTTCAGTCAAATGTAATGTTTATATATCATTTAGCATGATCTACATGTTATGAATTTATAACTGTATTTTCATAATATCAATTGCCTTTTTTTTATTGGCTCCACGTAGCCTAAGCATGTTAAGGTTGCAACAATTAACGATTAACTCAGAATGAACACAAAGGTGTTAAAATTATAGTGAGATCAAGAGCTAACAGACAATTTAAAAATAGACGTATTTGGATTTCAAAGTTCTTGCTCACCAATGAGCGCCGCCAGTGGCGTCGCCTGGCCTGGGCATCCGGGGCTTTAGCCCCGAATGTTTTTTCTGTAGCCCCGGACAATTCTCCCTCAATAATATAATACATTAACCGTGCTTTACGTGAACCTCATCATGACACAAGAGAGGACGGCAGCACTGTAATTTCCCGTGTTCAGTGAATGCAACAGAGGCATGACACCAGACCAATCAGAGAGTTGCATGGAAAAAACGTGTGCTTGTGTCATTCAAGCTCGGCTCTGTGTGTGTGTGTGGCAATAGCGCATTAGTGTGATAGAGAGAGAGAGGGGGAGAGAGAGGGAGAGAGGGAGAGAGGGGGAGGGAGGGAGGTGCCAGCATGGACCGTGTTGTTAGCATCTGGTTAGCTAGCTGCACTAACGGACATAAGGAGCTGTTTGTTCCACAACAAGCTGGAGGAGAGTCCTCTCTTCTCAGACTGAGAGACTCAGGTGAGCTAAAGGACTCTCTGAGTGTTTAGATAGTTAACTTTAGTCTAAGTTATCTCAGTGGGTCTCAAACGGTTTGGTCACAAATTATTCAAAAGATTATTTCCGCGGCACACCTTCATATGATCATTATAGTTATTAAAAAAAAGAGAATAAAGGAAAAACAGTTATGAAATACTATATGGCAGTAAAACAAGAATAGAGTTTAAAAAGGGAGTGATTAGTAAAATATCCATAAAGAAAAAGTAAATCTGTTTACAGTTCTGCTTCATATGGGTGTTGAGAGAGGTATCCATAGATCTCTTCATTTTGCTCTCAAAGTGCACCAGATTGATGCATTCAATATTTAAAAAAAAATCTTCCCGGGGGAGCATACCCCCGGACCCCCCTAGAGGAGGTGAGCCCCCCACTCATAAAAAATACCACTTTACCCCTGCCTATATGCCGTGAGCTGATTATCGAGCCTTCATTGTAACAGTCGCGGGTGTACTGTGTGTGTGCGTGTGGGGAGTGTTGCAGTAAAAAATGCCACTGTAGTGCCGCCGCCACTGTGGGCTAAGCCCCGAATGTTTTCAGGTCCAGGCGACGCCCCTGAAAATCAAACATCTAATACAATATGTACCATTGATGCCTGAGCTGGCCAAATCAGTTGTTGTGATGGTTTACTACCTGTTTATCAGATACATATCAGAACACTTGGAATATAAATGGTTCGTTTTTTTAAATGTTGATGTCTAAATGTCCTCCAATTCTGGAATGATCCATAAACCATTGAATCTGTGTGAGACGGTGGTTTTAAATCAATAAATGATTAAACAGTGACAAATGGCAGTATGGGTGATTTATTTGTATGTTTATTACATCATTTTTCTTATGCTGTCACACAGGTTTAGAATACAGAGAATAACCAAATATAAATACATAGAAAATGCAAAAGGGTAAAGCATTACTGGTACAAAATGTATAAAAGGACTAAAAAGCACACACTTTGACGTGTTCACCAGAGGGCGGCAAAATCAAACATTTAGAAATAATCCAGAATACACTTTGGTGTTTTTGAGATGTTTATATTCAAAGACAAGGTTAACTCTTGAATTCACTGCATACATTGAATTTGAGTAAGTTGGCACAAAACAAGAAAACTCTTAAATGTTTCAAAGCTTCTGAAAGTAAAACATGTTCTTCAATGCTTCTAAAGATCTGCCTTCAGATGGACCTCGGGTCAGCAGATTTGACGCGTAAAGTTGACGACACTGTATGAAAACGATATGGCTGCATTTATGAAGTTTGCTAGTGAGATGACCATAAGAGCCTGTTCTTGTTCCTTTTTGTAAGATTACAAATGATGCTGTATCAAATGGATGGAGACCATTTTCAAATGTCAAGCTATAAGAAAATGTGCCTAACGGAGGCCTGTTCATCTTTTCATTGTGTATAGTAAACCATATAGCCACATGAATCACTTTATACATGGGGATATGCCCAGCTCCTTCTGCACCAGTTACTTTCATTGAAACCATGGCCCAAAAATGAAATTGTCCAGTTCAACCTAACCTGTGCAGTGAAATAAAACTACATAGTCACCAATGGCTACTATCTAGTAAACAAAAGCATGAAGAGAAGAATATTTTTTTTATATGATGAACATTTTTGTTTAAAATACAGAAACATGTAGAAATTACAAAAAAAAATGAAAAATCAAAACTAGAGTGACTTTGAATTTGAACTGGTGCAAATGATGCTGGGCAGAATTCCCTCTGGAATAAGAGACCTTAGCATTCGAACACGTTAATGATTATGTCAGATATGTGGGGAACAGCATGATGTGGGAAGACTAGACTTTATTCTCTTTTATTCGTCTGGCACCTGATTAGAAGAGTGATGAGCACACTGTAACTCTGTAGGAGAGCTCCAGGGTGGAGCTGGGGGCTGACGGAGCCCCTCACAGGACGATGCAGCTGCAGGAGGAGCCCGTCCCGGGGGAGAGGAGGCTGTGCTGGCTGGTGGCTACTGACTGGATTAACCCCCAGAAATGCTTGAAAGAGATGCCCTCGCCGTCACCTACATTCATTTTCTTCAGGATTTCACCAAATCCCTGGTCTGAGCCGATCCCTTGGACCTAAGCGAAAGAGGCAAAAACAATTAGTGTGTTCACTGTATAACCAAACTGTTGTTATTAACAATTCAGCACAAGCTGACAAGGAGAAGAAGGATGTGGTAAGAAAACTAGAGCCAGAGTTCTGACCAGACCCACCCCACCCAGACTAAAGACACTAAAAACATGTTATCTTCTTTTGTGATGATCAACAGCCTTTTCTAAATGACCAAATATGTAATTCTGCTAATACCAAATCTAACACTAAAAAGTGACGCACACAGCTGGGAGACCATGGGACACTAAAAAGTGACGCACACAGCTGGGAGACCAGGGGACACTAAAGAGTGACGCACACAGCTGGGAGACCAGAGGACACTAAAGAGTGACGCACACAGCTGGGAGACCAGGGGACACTAAAGAGTGACGCACACAGCTGGGAGACCATGGGACACTAAAAAGTGACGCACACAGCTGGGAGACCAGGGGACACTAAAGAGTGACGCACACAGCTGGGAGACCAGAGGACACTAAAGAGTGATGCACACAGCTGGGAGACCATGGGACACTAAAAAGTGACGCACACAGCTGGGAGACCAGGGGACACTAAAGAGTGACGCACACAGCTGGGAGACCAGAGGACACTAAAGAGTGATGCACACAGCTGGGAGACCATGGTTGCATTCGAATAGTCCATTTAGCTTAGGAACCTTCCTAACGGAGTGAAATGACCCAGAAGTCCCTCAGTGGCAGCCATGATAAGTGCCGTTCGAATTCTCTAAATTAAAAGGAAAGGAGGTTTCAAACTTCCTTTATAACCTCCTTTAGCCTAGGAACCACTGGACCTCCCTAACCGAAAGGAGAGGAGAAAATGCTGCCCCACAATGCCTTGCGGCCGCAGCATTTGCCGTCACACAACAGTCGGCCGTTCACGGAAACAACCGATTATGAACGAGAAATTATATCATGAAAGTTACGGTGCTTATTAAGCATTTTAAAACGTATGTGGTAAGTTGCCAAAGTGCTTTGTTTTGAACGTTCATCAGTATTATAATCAAAAAGAGAAATATGAACGTTAGTTTTTACTGAAATGATCAAATAAAGTCAACATTTCACAGTCTTTACTGAGCTGTGTGGGGTTTGTTCAACTTTTAAAAGATGTTTGAATGGTGATATACACAGTGATAGATGTTAAGGACTAACGTTTATAATAAATACATTTGTATTGATTTGAAGATCTTTTCATACAATCATACGTATTGGGATCATTTGTATTAATGTGGACCGGAGGGAGAGGGTGACGAGCATAAGTTTCACTTTCCTTTTTTATTTCAATTCCAACTTTGGTCATGAAGAATATGTTTCTCTGTTGTCCCCGTTCATAAAGCATAAAACAACAGCATCAGAGCACGGTGCAGAGTCTCTAGATGAGTTTACAGTAGTCCCTCGTTCTTATTAAACATCCATGTTGTAGTCCGCTGTATAGAAAACTGTAGTTTCCATAGTTTCCCCACAGCAGCAGGCGCACATTTATGACCTCTGCTGGCGCATCATAAACACGTCGGATAGTGAAAGTGCAGTCGGATTCTCTAAAGTGTCGCAGTCTCTTCTCCTAAATCCTTTTGAATTCTCCTATCCACTATCCCTTAACCCCATGACGTTTCACTCCGAGGTCAAGGAATAGACGATAGGGTTAGAACTTAGGAGCTGTTTTTTTGGAGTATTCGAACGCAACCCATGGGACACTAAAAAGTGACGCACACAGCTGGGAGACCAGAGGACACTAAAGATTGACGCACACAGCTGGGAGATCAGGGGACACTAAAGAGTGACGCACACAGCTGGGAGACCAGGGGACACTAAAAAGTGACGCACACAGCTGGGAGACCAGGGGACACTAAAAAGTGACACACACAGCTGGGAGACCAGGGGACACTAAAAAGTGACACACACAGCTGGGACCGGAGCGCTTGGTGACGTTCACGATTATAAAGCTGAACAACTGTCTCTTTATTTTAACAATGTGATCACATGACTCCTTCTGATGTACTGCAGATCTGCTGTAAGCTAGCTAGCTAACGTAGCTAACCTATTCATTTCAGATATACTGACAAACACTTACAGTTATGAGACAGACTAACTCTGCAACAGAGACAGTTGTTCAGCTTTATAATCCTGAACGTCACCAAGCGCACCTTCCCAGCTGTGTGCGTCACTTCTTAGTGTCCCCTGGTCTCCCAGCTGTGTCCCTTGAGGCCTGTACTACGAAGCCGGATCTTCGCTTAGCGGCTAACTTCAGGGTAAACTCTGGGTTTCCGGTCCTACGATGCTGGTTCACTTCTTAGCGGGCTAGATCTCCATGGTAACTTATCCTGGAACCTAGCCTGGTCCGGAGCAGGTTAGGTTCCAGGATAAGAGATCAACTCAGTGAAAGCACCGCCTGCTGACCAATCAGAGCTCCGTGTGCGGAGTTTAAAGCGATCAAGTCATATTACAGGATAGAGGAAATACAGAAAGACGGCCGGCAAAAATCAACTGACTGTGAACGTGAAAATGAATAGAATATCCCCTCCCATCTTCAGAGCAATCTGACTATTATAACATTAGCATTAAGAAAGCTTACTTAAATATCTGCCACAACATAAGTAACCGGATCAGAGTAACATTAAGTACAGTCTGCGGCACTGTGAGTGCAGACGTCGATGTGTCCCATTATCATTCATATCACATCATAATGTATCATATATTTCCTTATTTGAGTCAGCTTCTTGAGCCGTATCTGGCCGTGCAACACTCACAGTGTCACATACTGTATGCAGAAGTATTATTTTAACACTAGAACCGCCAGAGATTTTTTATACCTAAAACCGCCACCTGGGTCAAATTGACCCGCTATTAGAATGCATTGATTTTCAAGGTAAAATGTTCTTTTATTGAACAGAGAGTTTTGATCGCACAGGGATGAAACGTATACCAATATAATCTGTGGACTCTCAGGGCTCGACATTATAAATGGCCCGCTGGGCCGGAAGCATTATTTAGACACCGCGGCCAGCATAACGTACTTTCAACTCGCCCCACAGCTGTTTGCTGCGGAGCGCAGTGCGAGCAGTCTCCCGTGAGCGGGAGCACACTCCTTCACTACAGACTGTCTCTATCTCTCTCTCTCTCTCTCTATCTATAACTATCTATCAATATATCTATCCATCTATCTCTCTCTCTCTCAATCTATCTCTCAATCTATAAGGAGGAACCGCAGTAGACAAAAGGCGTTGCTATAGCAACACGTCATGTTTATATGAAAAGGGGTGGGGTCAATATGACCCGCTTGGCGGAAATAGGTATAAATGGCACATTTTTGGGTGATTTCTTCAATCTGACTTCATATTGACAATTTTTAACAACAGAGGGTGGTACATAACACACTTTCAGGAAAAGTCACGGACTGGAAGACTTTAATATTTTATTGAAAAAAAGTTACATCAAATATAAAACAGCTCGGGGTCAAATTGACCCCGTTGGCGGTTCTAGTGTTAAGCAACACATTAAGTTGACGAAACACTCGAGTCAAATGTAATTAAAGTCAGATCGTGTCTTAGCAGTGATATCATACACCTGTTAATGTACGCATTCAAACTCTTTTTCTTTTACCAGCTGTATTCACCTTGCAGGTGCAGCTATGTGGCTTTTATCCTGGATAAAGTGTTTAAGTCATGGATGTTTAAAGTTTAACTTCTTCATATTTGTCTAATATTATAGTTTTCTTTTCATTAATGAAGTATGACGCTGCGCTGTCAGTACGCTTGTCCATGTTTGTGATTGGTCAAATGTTGCTAACCCCGCCCCTTTCATGTGAACGCGCACTCAGCCGGACAGAGAAACCCTGGCTTGAGTTACCGAGTTGATAACCAGCGTCGTAGAACCGCTTAGTGAGAGTGCGTTTGTTAGGGTTAGTTAAGCCAGATAACTCAAACATATCCAGGGTCTGTTGAACTGGATTCGTAGTACAGGCCTCTGGTCTCCGTGTTTTGAGCTTTTTGCAGCGTTTTGATTATGCAGCGAATGTGTTTTCAAGTTGGTGAAGATGTTTCTTAATGTACATGTTCTGGCCCTTTTTATATCTGCATTGTTTCTGAAGCTGCAGCCAATTCTCCTGTGGAAGTGTTTGGGGGCGTTGTTACGCTGTTGCACCGGTCGGCCGCCGTACCGGACAGACAGAATATAACATGTATATATATAATGTGTGACTGAGCAGACATACAGAGAACATACACATAGAGCAGTTTTATATTTACCATGTTAGGCATCTGGGAGGACAACAGATTTTTAAATTCATCAGTTTTCAGGGTTGGACCATTGTCAGCCGAAGCAGAATGGAACTTTGAGACCAGCGTGTCGATGGCCTTCTCCAGGTCTGAATACTGGGAGCGGACAGAAGGGAAAAGAAGGTCATCACAAGTTAAAGCTGAGCAGCGAGTCAACGGACAGCCTTTTTGCTGAAGTGGGACATTTCTGAATTTTACTTTTGTAAGAGCTTTTGATTTATTGAATCCAAGCAAGACCTAAAGAGAATTTCCACAAATATAACAAAACATATTCTTAAATAATTGTCTATTTAAGGTTCAAGGATAGTTTCCTGTAGGTAAACTATTTAGTTAAAAGCTATATTGTGTTTTTTTATATTACTATGTTTCAAATGATAATGTGAAAACAATACTACGATGTGAAAGTGTTAATATAAACACATGTGTCTGATAACTTATTTAGGTTAATTTGAGCATTTTTACCATCAAAACATAATATTATCATCAAATAATTGATCATATATTATTCTAGGCTTACATAAAAACTGAATTGATCCCTTGGGGAATTGCACAAGCTACCCAGCAGTGTTATAGTAAAAACACAAGCTGAACCAGCAGCAACATTTAAGTGATGAACACATGAATGTATATCTCATTATACCTGAAGGCCACCGTAGTTCTCTACACACATGGAAAGGGAGGGGGGAGCAACCTGCTACTTTACCTTTAAGTGAGATTTGAAGGCATGACTTATTGTAACAGTCAGAGTATTTCTACTCTACTCTCTTATGAATACTGAATACACTTCCACTATAGCTTCTAACAGAGGCAGCCGTTAGAATGGAGCTCCTGAAAGATAGCGTTCCTCCTGGGACTTTATAAAGAGCCATACTCGTTTGACAGGCTGAAGCTTATAGAGTCAGAGCTGTTAGTCTGTTTGAATAAGACATGAGATCCGCCCTTAGCTGTTTGCTAATGCTAACTTTCTACATGTGTTTAACCAAGTGGAAAAAACGATCTAGTCTACCAAATCTTTATTTAGTATTTAATATGGTGCTAGTTTCCACCAAAAAATACTTTTAAGTCACTTTTATGACACTAGTTTTTATCGTTTAGTCGTTTGCAATTGCAGGGAAATTCCAGTGTTTGAAGTATTCATTGTTTTCCTGGCCACTTGGAGGAAACGCCACATGAAGGCATTACAATGAATATGTTAGGAAACAGATGCTTATAATACCCAGAGCGTCCATGTGTTGAGGCAAGGCAAGGCAAGTTTATTTTGAGGGTCAACGGTCCCTCTTCCCGCTCTGGGTTTGGTCTCCTCACCTCCTGAGAGAATCTGTCTCGAGCTGCTAAACTTTTTCTGTAATGAGTACTTTTACTCTTCATACTTTAAGAACATCTTTGTCATCATACTTTTACTTAAGTACCATTCTTGATGCATTACTTTGACTTGAAATAGAGTATTTTTACAGTGCGGTATAAGTACTTTTACTCAAGAAAGGTATCTGAATGATGTATTTACTGTCTCTTACACTCTTCTGTGAAACAGCTCTAAAACTATGAGGGGAGAGTCAGAGTGCAGCGACATGCAGCGCTTTGGCTGAGTGTTGATGTGAATGTGGCTTAACTCAGCATTAAGGACAGTTGTATTGCTCCAGTTACTCAGTGCATGTGGGCCAACAGCTTCTCAAACCACACCCTGAGTGACGGAGCAAGCTGCTGCAGGCCCACTGCACCTCAGCCCGGTTTCACAAGGTTCAGATCAGATGAGTGGATCACAGGACTGACGCATGAAAATGGTTATTTGCAAAGAAATAGCCACTTTGTTTTTTACTTTTATCAGACATTTCAAAGTGTGTAAGCATCGGGGATAAAGTCTCAGTGGGAATCATTAAAGACTGACTCATGTTACCACACCCTATCCTTAGACTGCAGCTCATCTGAAACTCTACCTCATTGGAAACTGTTTTTAATAGTTGTATTTTAAGTCTTACAGTGCCAATGGGGTTTGGTCCTGTAAGGAAAGTTTTTAATGTGGGACAGACAATGTGCCACATGAGAGATTATGAATCATAGTTTCTGAAGGAAGATCATGTAGCACAATGACAAAGGTCCTGTAATAAAGAGGAAGCCATGCTGCATGGAGGGCCTACAGGTGATCAGATACACTGTATATGCCTCGCTCCCATACACACAGCTGTCTGTCGCCCAGGATCACGGCGGTTAGCAGTCTGCTACAGGAACGTTACTGTCGCAGGGAGGGGCCGCAGCTCCAGGCTCTTAAAGCCGAGCAGCGACGCTCACACGGCGGATAGAAAGTGCTCTCTGTCCGGGGAGGCTGTGCTTTGCCCGGGCCTCAGCAGAAAACTGTTCTGTAATGGTTCCGCTCACTTTTACAATCCAGCTGCGCATTCTTTCCTTAAACCGCGATCAAACTCAACAACTAACACAACTTCATGTAAAGTTCAATACGTTAGCATTCCTAACCCGTGTCGAGATTTACTCTAATAAAAGTTATATTTCTTACCTGAGACATGTCGACTGGTAGTTTCACTGCGAGATTCTCCCCTCTGTCTGTCTGCCTGTCTGTCTGTGAGTGTGAGTGTGTGTGTTTGTGGTTACTGACAGTCACTAACTGGCAACCTTCCTGGATCCTCCCTCTGCATGAGAGAAAGCCAGGAAGAAGAAGAAAAAGGAGCATACATGATATGTTGGCAGCCTCCACTCTACGTGTGTGTGTGTGTGTGTGTGTTTTTTGTGCTGTGGACACACTACATGTGAGAGTACAGGAGTGTATAAAGTGGTGTGTTTGGATGTTATAAGGAGCAGATTACTTTCAGCAGACTCTCATTCCACATCTGGAAAGCTTTAGTCAAAGTTGGACGCTTTGCGCAATAAGTGTGTGCATGTTGAGGCTGGCACTGCTGATCCTGTCCCACTGTTAACCTGTTCACTGCTGATCCTGTCCCTCTGTTAACCTGTTCACTGCTGATCCTGTCCCACTGTTAACCTGTTCACTGCTGATCCTGTCCCTCTGTTAACCTGTTCACTGCTGATCCTGTCCCTCTGTTAACCTGTTCATAACAGCCAGAGGTGGGAGAAGTACTCAGATCTTGTACTTCAGTGTAGGAATACTCAGTTACAGTAAAAGTCCTGCATTCAAAATGTTACTCAAGCAAAAGTAGAAAAGTATTTGCATCAAACATACTTAAAGTACCAAGTGGGATAGTGTGCTGATGTTTGGATAAGGGGAGCACTGGTTCAATCCCCACTGCAGTCAGCATGCCGCTGTGTCCTTGGGCAAGACACTTCACCCCAGATTGCTCCTGTGGGGATTGTCCACAGTATGGAGTATATGTAAGTCGCTTTGGGTAAAAACGTCTAACAAGTGACATGTACAGTAAAAGTAGTCATTGTGCAGATTGGTCCATTTCAGAATAATATATATGATATGTTTTATAATGATTGATCATGAAAGTGTTCTCAAAGCTGGTAAAGGAGCAGCTAGTTTGAATGACTTTGTATACTGCAGGGTAGCTTGTGGATTTACTCCAGGTGGAACTAAAGTCTGATTTAACACTTGATTATATTTCACATCATTCATCCACATCTGTAAAGTAACTAAAGTATTAAATACATGTAGTGGAGTAAAAGTACACCATTTACCTCTGAACTGTAGAGGAGTAGAAGTACAAAGCATCAAATGGAAATACTCAAGTAAAGTACAAGTGTCTCAAAACTGTACTTAAGTACAGTACTTGAGTAAATGTACTTAGTTACTTCCCCCCTCTGCTGCCAGCTGATCATGTCACCAGATCTGCTCTCATATTGCGGATCAACAGAGGGCAGACTTTATGTGAAACTGAAAGCTGTTGGGTCAGTTTGAGATGGAATCAGAGAGGGAGAAGGGAACAGGCACACCCACGTTCTTTCTGTTTGGTTTTATGATGTCAGTGGGGTGGGTGCACACGTGACACGGGGGGAAGCTTGGTTCAAATTAACCACAAGAATTTAGCTGAAGACAAAAAAGTGTAAAAGAATGAACAGAATTTCAGCAGATCGTCAGCCTGAACTAAAAGGAGAGCGTGGATGACTTCGAGGTGAAGGGTGTGTCACAACATATCATATACATTATTCACATTTAAATTGGTTTGTGCCACACCCAGTCAAAGAAGCCACAATGAATTGTTTTAGAGACCTTCAACCTTTCAGTTACCAATGTTACTGCCCTGAGCAAACACACACACACACACACACACACACACACACACACACACACACACACACACACACACACACACACACACACACACACACACACACACACACATATATATCCAGTTCCCATCCAGTTTTTGGGAACACACTCACTGTTTTCTCTCGTGAGTCAAACTCCAACAAGTTAAATCCTTTTCTATTTGAAACAACACATCTGCAGAAGGCTTCATGTGTTAATGAGTGGAGCAGAGATGATGACAGCATATGTTCTGCAGGCCATGAGCAGAGAACACATGTTCATACGTGAAGTCAGTGAGAGGATGTGAGCAGAGCGTGCATCATATCTCTGGATTGATCACAAGGACATGAGTAAAAAAGGCCAGGGGACATAAAGTGGTGCAGGAATGAGTCCTGAAACCCGGATATGAGTTAGCATTTTGCCACTTCCTGGACTTTAAGTGGGAGCAGAACATCAGCTCCCTCCTCAAAGAAGCCAGGCAGAGGATGTTCTTCCTGAGGCAGCTGAAGACATTCAACATGCCAAAGACGATGATGGTGAAATTCTACACCTCCATCATGGAGTCCCCCCCCCATCACCATCTACGCTGCAGCTACAGCCAAGGATAAGGGCAGGCTGCAGTTTGCCATATGGTCAATTATCCATTCTCCTTATTGTTTTGCTTTTAAGGTTCTTTGTATATTTTTTATTTAAATTTGGCGTAAATACTTGTCTTTATCATTTTGTAATGCTAAGTAGTTTCATAAAAATACTTATTTTTATCATCTTTATATTTCTGACCTACTTTTAAAACATATTGTGTTATTTTGTTTATGTTCGCTTCACCAGACAAAGCTGTTTACGTGTAACCTAGCAATAAACTTAATTCTGATTCTGAACCTAACCCAAAATACAAGTTTCCCTACAGGCATTTTAGCCTTTTGTTTCCACATTAAAGTGGATGCCCTTAGTTATTGATTGATTCTTTTTTGTTAACCACAGATTTGTTGAAGGCAGACGATCTTTCATTTCATGTGAAACACACCACTAGGTTTTCTACAAGTTCAGATAAGATTCTTATAACAATGCAAATACCTTTCAGACATTCCAGGAACATTTACAAGTATAGAATGTTGCCTTATTTCAAACAGTACTTAAAAAAAACCCTTGTTACCATTTTCCATCCCCAAAGAGCTGATCTTCATGTGTAGACGTTCTTTGGCCACTAGATGTCATCACTCCATAATATAATGACCGACATTACATTTCAGGGACAGCTGTCACCGCATCGTCATCTGCAACTATTTAGCAAGAGTTTACCTTGAGGGCAAAATAAAGAATGTTAATGTCGATACGATATACAATGAGTGGAGGTCCACTTTGGATCATTTTCTAAAGAGTGGTGGTGTGATGAACCCCCCCCCCCTCTCCACCTGCAGCTGGACAGACAGATAACCCCCCCCCCCCCCCTCTCCTCTCCTCCTGCAGCTGGACAGACAGATAACCCCCCCCCCCCCTCTCCTCTCCTCCTGCAGCTGGACAGACAGATAACCCCCCCCCCCCCCTCTCCTCTCCTCCTGCAGCTGGACAGACAGATAACCCCAACCCCCCCCCCCCCCCCTCTCCTCTCTACCGACATGGACAGACAGATAACCCCCCCCCCCCCCCCTCTCCGCTCCACCTGCAGCTGGACAGACAGATACCAACCCCCCCCCCCCCCCCTCTCCTCTCCAACCTGCAGCGGGACAGACAGATAACCCCCCCCCCCCCTCGTCCTCTTCCACCTGCAGTCTGGACAACAGATAAACCCCCCCCCTCTCCTCTCCACCTGCAACTGGACAGACAGATAACCCCCCCCCCCCCCTCTCCACCTGGCAGCTGGACAGACAGATAACCCCCCCCCTCTTCCTCTCCACCTGCAGCTGGACAGACAGATAACCCTCCCCCCCCTCTCCACCTGCAGCTGGACAGACAGATAACCCCCCCCCCTCTCCTCTCCACCTGCAACTGGACAGACACAGATAACCCCCGCCCCTCTCTCCACCTGGCACGCTTGGACAGAACAGAATAACCCCCCCCCCCCCCCCTACTCCACCGTGTGCGAGCTGGACAGACAGATAACCCCCCCCCCCCCCCCCCCCGCAGCTGGACAGACAGATAACCCCCCCCCTCTCCTCTCCACCTGCAGCTGGACAGACAGATAACCCCCCCCCCCCCTCTCCTCTCCACCTGCAGCTGGACAGACAGATAACCCCCCCCCCTCTCCTCTCCACCTGCAGCTGGACAGACAGATAACCCCCCCCCCCTCTCCACCTGCAGCTGGACAGACAGATAACCCCCCCCCCCCCTCTCCACCTGCAGCTGGACAGACAGATAACCCCCCCCCCCCCCTCTCCACCTGCAGCTGGACAGACAGATAACCCCCCCCCCCCCCTCTCCACCTGCAGCTGGACAGACAGATAACCCCCCCCCCCCCCCTCTCCACCTGCAGCTGGACAGACAGATAACCCCCCCCCCCCCCCCTGCAGCTGGACAGACAGATACCCCCCCCCCCCAGCTGGACAGACAGATAACCCCCCCCCCCCCCCCCCCCTGCAGCTGGACAGACAGATACCCCCCCCCCCCCCCCCCAGCTGGACAGACAGATAACCCCCCCCCCCCCCCCCTCTCCTCTCCACCTGCAGCTGGACAGACAGATACCCCCCCCCCCCAGCTGGACAGACGTCAAAGTTAAAGGTGGCTAATGAAGCACCAGACATCAGCAGTAGGGTATTTATTGATGTATTTTATGTTGTGGAATAAAACATGAAAATGGTGACAGCTTATGTTAACCACAGACCTTATTCCAGGCATCTGAAACACGTTTAAAAACCTGAACGTGTACCTGTCCTTGTGTTTCATCTTCAGATATTTGTCATTTCATGCATAAAATGTTCATGTGTTAGTCTTCTCCCAGTTGTATTTTTGTTTTTTTATTTGATTTTAGTTTACAAATTAAATAATAATTCCTCTTGTTGTCAACAAATGAAAGAGAGCTACTGTCTCAACTCTGACTCCATTGGCTTCCTCTCAAACACATAAAGAATAAAGCTTATAGTTAGGGCTGATTAGATTCAGCCCCTAGTTTAGCTGCTATAGGCTTAGACTGTCGGGGGACACCTTGCTTCTTCCTTCTCTCTGTCTGTACCTGTGTACTCTCATGTTCCCAATAACCCAGCTTCCCCACATTTCTTTTTGGTGTCTATCTACGCCGGGATCCTGAGTCGTGGCTGATCCTGTTGCTGCGGTCATGTGTCCTGGATCCTGAGTCCTGGATCCTGAGTCCTGGATCGCGAGCCCTGGATCTTGAGTCGTGGCTGTGCCTGTTGCTGTGGTCCTGGATCATAAGTCCTGGATGGATATCCTCATGGATTCATCTTCTTATTACAGACACATCTCCAAACATTTGGTCTACCTACGCTGTAAAATGTATTATCTTTTCAATTGACACACGGCATCTATTGCACGTCTGTCCGTCCTGGGAGAGGGATCCCTCCTCTGTTGCTCTCCCTGAGGTTTCTCCCATGTTTCCCTTTAAACTGTGGGGTTTTTCTCTGGAAGTGTTTCCTTGTACGATGTGAGGGTCTAAGGACAGAGGGTGTCGTATTGTCATACTGATATTCTGTACAAACTGTGAAGTCCACTGAGACAAATGTAACATTTGTGATATTGGGCTATATAAATAAACATTGATTGATTGATAACAACAATGGAGCTGGGAGGAAGAAGACACACCAGGCTGTGAAACACAAACAGATATATTCACTTGGGCTTGGCTCTGCACATTAAACAACCAATTCATCCTTCAAAAGAAGAACAACTGAAGAAGTCCATAAAGCTTTTTTAAAAGACCATGCAGCCTCTGAAATACACATTCAGTAAATGTAAGAGTGGCACAAATGAATGATTACTGTAACAGAATGATTTGTGGTGTTCATTCAGAACATCCCGTCAGTTTATAAACTCTGTGCTGAGCTGGAGGTGAAATCCCTCCAGATGTTCTTTAAGTTTCTCCCTCACATCTTCCCCTGTCTCGGTGCTGAGGACCGAATGCTGGCCTCCCCCCCTCTCCATCAGCTGTTTCACTTCCAGTTCTGAAACTTGCCCTTCATCAAGAGCGCACTCCATCTTGAGAAAGCTCTGTATTTTATCTTCAGCAGGGACAGGCACCAGGAGGAGCTGCCCCTCTCCCCCCCCCTGTATCAGGAACAGCTGCTGGAGGGGAGCCTCCTCACCCAGAGCCCCACTCTCCCCCTCAGAGAGCAGCAGTTGCTCATGAAAATCAGACAGAGACATCCCAGGGATCACATGTTGGACACCTTGAGTTTGGAGCAGGACTTGGGGATTTATTCCATTTAAGTCACTACTTTCTACACTTTTTCCAGGTGGTCTTTCCTGTATGTTTGTAGTGTTTGCGGCTGTACTGGTTTCTACCCGGTCCCTCATTTTTAGCGTGTCCTCATGCACTGCAGACTCCACATCATTTGAAGTCTTTGAAGCTCTGCGTGCTTCCGGGCCTCTTCCACAGTAGAAGCAGAATCCCTTCTCCTCCTCAGAGCAGCTGCTCGAGTCTGGCAGACAATGCTCCATCTGATCCACACATCTGTCCTCAAACAACCCTACACCCTCAGATCTAGCATCTCTCCCCCCCTGGTTAGAACCTCCTTTGCCTAGTCTCTTCTCCCCCCAGGTTCTAGAACTATCTTGTGACAGGAGCAGAGTGTGCTTCAGCCGTTTGTCCCGCAGCCTCAGCACGGTGCTCCGCAGGCGGTTCTCCCTCCGCCGGGCCGCATGCAGCTGTCGTAAGGCTCTCTCCAAGCAGTCTATGGCCTGGTCGTAGCGTCTCCTCCACAGCAGGGGGCAGAGCTGAGCGTAGCTGTGCTCCTTGGGCAGGTAGAAGCCTGGAGGAGGGGGCAGACGCCTCATGTAACGTGATGGGGACTGCGGACGACACGCTGGTTCTGGTTCTAGACTGGATTCCTGCTGTGGGAGCTGCTCCACCTCTGAGGGCTCTTGGGGAGATGCAGGTGTGTTTCCATTTGGTTGTTTGGAAGTTTCACCCCCGTCTGTCTTCTGCTGAGCATTCTGCAGGTCGCCTGAGCGCCGATTCCTCCTACAGAAAAGAAAAATTATTAATTGATTATGAAAAACATTTAGCTGACACTTTTATCCAAAGCCACTTACATACACTCCAATACCACAGACATGCCAACAGGAGCAATTGGGGTTAAGTATCTCGCCCAAAGACACTTGGACATGCAGGGGCTGGGAATCAAAACCACTGACCCTGTAACATGTCTACACCTTTAAACCCTGGAGCCACAGTGCCCACAGAGCCTTTTGGCAGGATATACAAGTGGGGGAACAATGACAACATTTCCTAAATGTTGACATAATAAGGTTCATCAATATAACCCAATATTAAAGGGGCACCACTATTATGTCTCTACTGGGACATGTCTCCATGCTTTAATGTTCAAAAAGCTCTTTATTGTTCTCATACTGCCTGTGCTGCAGCACCTCTTTTCACCCTCTGCTCTGATTGGTTACCTGGCCGGCCGTCAACCGCTTAGAGATGTTGCGTCCCCTTGGCCTATCTTTATGTATTGGTGCCATAGCCAATAGAAGCGTGAGTGTTACATAGTGATGTAACGGAAATAAACAAAGCAGTCCAATGGAGGCGTTTCAGACGTGGGGGGGTAGTGGGAGAGAAACTCCCTCTTGAGTGGACACAGGGATTTTAGCCAATAGCACGACAGAGCCTACAACGGTAACAGTCAGAGAGCGCTTATCGTTGTCCCTGATGGGGACACAGGAGATGGGCGGTAAGTTTCTGTGACAACCCCCCTGTGCCACTGAGAGTGGGTGGGTGATGTTCTCGGCATTAGCCACTGTGAGGGCGCTGTGCAGAGTCACTGCAAATAGCTAGCCAGTGGGACACACAGCTTCTAATCACATGATGGGTTTCAGATGAATCTTTTAGTATCACTTCCCATTTACTGTATGGGTACTGGTTTTAGTCATATTTTAAACGATATCCAACCATAAACACAGGAGCAGTGTTTTGAGTTGTACAGAGACATGATTACAGCTCTAAATCCAACATGTCGAGGGCTTGAAGTGCCATGCATGGGGGAAGTGTATCATCTTCTGCTAGCTTTGTTTCATAGCGTCAAACTGCAGGTCAAAAGCATTTTATGTAACGCTAACAAGTAACAACAGAATCTTTGTCGCACATATTAAGGCTGCGCATCAGCTGGCTTCTGAGCTGCTGATGGTACATCACACACATAACTGTATAGGTGTGTTACCTGAGACGCAGACCTCCTGCTGTCTGCTGTGTCGCTCTTCTCTTCCCTTTGGTTGTTGAAGAAGAGTCAAACACTGTAGGAAAAGCCTCTTCCTTCAGTCTCCTGATCCCACTGTGAGTGCACAGGTCAAACACATGAATCTGCTATTGTAACGCTGTGAGCAGGAGACAGTGCTTTATCACATCAACACTCCAGTATCTGAATGAGTACAGACCTGCATCCAGTCAGCTCGAAGCTCTGTGGGGTGAAGTGTTTGGAGCAGAAGTAAACAAAGTCAGTCTGAGGGTCCCAGGAGTCCGCCCGGTGACAGTTGTTGATCCAGAGGCTCCTCCGGGTCGCTCCTTTTGGTAGTCTGGCCATCACAAGTAAATACATTCTGTCACTTCAGTACAAGGTAAATAGGAAATATGGTGGAGAGTAACAAAGTACATTTACTCAAGTTCGGTACTGTACTTTATACTTCTACTCCACTACATTTTGGAAGCTAATAGTGTTTTTTACTCCACTCCATTTATTTTACAGCTTTTAATTACTAGTTAGATTTAATTATTAGCTAATAAAAAATATAAATTAAATAATCAATGATTAAATAAAGGTTGATATATATACAGTGCATACAGTCCCCTCCAAAACTATTGGAACAGCGAGGCCAATTGCTTTATTTTTGCTGTACACTGAAAACAATTAGGTTTGACATCAAAAGATGAATATGACACTAAAGGTCAGTATTTCAGCTTTTAACTCCAGGTATTTACATCTAGATCTGTTAACTGAGAAGATAGCTTCTTTTGTTTAAACCCACCCATTTTTCAAGTGAGCAAAAGTATTGAAACATGTGCCTGACAGGTGTTTTTTGTTGCCCAGGTGTGTCCTGCTATACATTGATTATTCAAACAATAAATAGCACTGCATTTCTACTCTCAGTTTGAGCTTTGGGCTTTGCCTGTGCAGACTGCATTTTTAGTTACAACGGTGTAACCAACATGAAGACTAGAGAGCTGCCTACGGGAGAAAAGCAAGCAATTTTGAAACTGAGAGAAGATGGAAAATACATCAGAGCCATTGCACAAACATTGGCCATAACCAGTACAACCATTTAGAATGTCCTTAAGAAGAAAGAAACCACTGGTGTACTGAGCATCAGACTTCAAACTGGTCGACAAAGGAAAACATCAGCAGTTGATGACAGAAACATTATGAGAACTGTAAAGAAACATCACCAACAACCTCCAGAGGGCAGGAGCGAAGGTATCACAATCCACCGTTAGCAGAAGACTTTGGGAACAAAAGTACAGAGGCTACACCAGAAGATGCAAACCACTCATTAGCAATAAGAATAGGATGGCCAGATTTGAATTTGCCAAAAAGTACAGAGACGAGGCTCAACAGTTCTGGGAGAAAGTTTTATGGACTGATGAGTCAAAGATGAACCTTTACCAAAGTGATGGAAAGGGTAACGTGTGGAAAAAGAAAGGATCTGCTCATGATCCCAAACACACAAGCTCATCTGTGAAACACGGTGGAGGTAATGTCATGGCTTGGGCTTGCATGGTTTCTTCTGGGCAGGCTCATTGATCTTCATTGATGATGTAACACATGATGGCAGCAGCCAAATGAACTCAGAAGTCTCCAGAAACATTTTCTCTGCCAATTTAAAGAGAGATGCAACCAAACTGATCGGGAGATCCTTCATCATGCAGCAAGACAACGACCCAAAACTCACTGCCAAAACATCCAAGGAGTTTATCAGGGAAAAGAAGTGGAAGGTTTTAGACTGGCCAAGTCAATCTCCAGACTTAAACCCTTTTGAGCATGCATTCTCCACAAAAGAAGAATGCAAAAGTTTGGTGATGTCAATGGGTTGCAGGCTTGATGCAGTTATTGCAAGCAAAGGATTTGCAACTAAATACTAAGTATTATTAACTTTTCACACTATTTTATGTCTCTGTTCCTATACTTTTGCTCACTTTAAAAATGGGTGGGTTTAAACAAAAGGTGTTATCTTCTCAGTTGTTTAACAGATCTAAATGTAAATACCTGGAATTAAAAGCTGAAATACTGACCTTTTGTCTCATATTCATCTTCTGATGTCAAACCTAATTGTTTTCAGTGTACAGCAAAAATAAAGCAATTAGCCTCGCTGTTCCAATAATTTTGGAGGGGACTGTATGTTTATAGGTTAAGATATCCAGCAGCAGTATATAAAGTTATTCATTACATTGCATTACATGACATTGCATTTAGCTAATGCTTTTATCCAAAGCGACTTACAATAAGTGCATTCGACCAAGAAGATATAAACTTGAAGAAAACAGAATCATATAAGTACATCAGGTTTCATAGAGCTAAAACATTTAAAGTGCTACTCAACTGGCTTTAGATAAGCCAGTCCTTTATTAGTATATAAGTGCTTTGTTAGAAATTCTTTGTTAGTAATTATATCGCTCGAAGTGGAGTCGAAAGAGATGAGTTTTCAGTCTGCACCAGAAGATGTGTAAGCTTTCTGCTGTCCTGATGTCAATGGGGAGCTCATTCCACCATTTTGGAGCCAGGATAGCAAACCCACATGTTTTTGCTGATGGGAACTTGGGTCCCCCTTGCAGTGCGGGTGCAGCGAGCCGTTTAGCTGATGCAGAGCGGAGTGCACGTGCTGGGGTGTACAGTTTAACCATGTCCTGGATGTAGGAAGGCCCAGATCCATTCACAGCATGGTACGCAAGTACCAGTGTCTTGAAGTGGATTCTAGCAGTTACTGGAAGCCAGTGAAGTGAGCGGAGGAGCGGTGTGGTGTGGGAACATTTAGGAAGGTTGAAGACCAGACGAGCCGCTGCATTCTGGATGAGCTGCAGAGGTCGGATGGCACATGCAGGTAGACCAGCCAGGAGGGAGTTGCAGTAGTCAAGGCGTGAGATGACGAGAGCCTGGGCCAGAAGCTGAGTCGCTTTCTGGGTCAGGTGGGGACGTATCCTCCTGATGTTGTAAAGCATGTATCTGCAGCAGCGGGTTGTAGCAGCGATGTTTGCAGTGAAGGACAGGTTGTTATCTAGGGTCACACCCAGATTCCTTGCAGTCTGAGTCGGGGAAACAACAGAGGGGCCGATGTTGATTGTTAGGTCAAGAGTGGGACAATCTTTTCCAGGAAGGAAAAGCAGTTCAGTCTTGTCAAGGTTGAGCTTGAGGTGGTGAGCAGACATCCACTGAGAGATGCCAGCTAGACAAGCAGAGATGAGTGCGACGACCTGGGTTTCAGAACGGGGAAAGGACAGAAATAATTGGGTGTCGTCAGCGTAGCAGTGGTATGAAAAACCATGCGGGCTAATGACAGATCCGAGCGAGTTTGTGTACAGAGTGAAGAGGAGGGGACCAAGGACAGAGCCCTGAGGGACTCCTGTAGTTAATTGACAAGGGTCAGACTCAGACCCTCTCCAAGTTACCCTGTAGGTGCAGCCTTTGAGGTATGAGGTGAGGAGGGAAAGTGCAGAGCCTGAAACTCCAAGTTCTTGGAGAGTGCGAAGGAGGATCTGATGATTCACCGTGTCGAATGCAGCAGACAGGTCCAAAAGGATGATGACAGAGGAGAGGGAGGCTGTTTTAGCCGTGTGCAGTTCCTCAGAGACAGCGAGGAGGGCAGTTTCTGTGGAGTGACCTGCCTTGAAACCAAATTAGCTCCACATTTACCAGCTTTAATATAAATATATAAATTATCATAATAGTAACCCAGTAACTCAATATATATATGTGCCATTCGGCATCACCACTTTTAAATTTGGTACTTAATTATATTTTGATGCCAAACTTCTGTATTTTTACTTAAGTAAGATTTTGAATGCAGGACTTTTACTTGTAACAAAGTAAAAAAAAACTTCTTCCATCAGAGGAAAAAACTAAGAAGAGGTATCCAACACAGGTATAACATAATGCGTGTATAATATAATGATGTGCTGCAGTCTTCAGTCTTGAGCGACATTAGTTCTCTCTTGGTGGAGCCAGCAGTTGATCCTTGCCTCCTACAATATCTCATTTCTAACGTCTGAACTGACTGATGGATTACCGGCTCATCCTTTATAGCAGGGGTGGGGAACCTCCGGCCTCCGGGCCGTATATGGACCGCGAGACCATTTGATACGGCCCTAGAGGTAATTTATAAACACACGGGAAAAAAAAATTAAAGAAATCTAGACCGCAAAAAATGTGCCGTACACATGCTGCAGTTTTTGCGTGGCTGTGTCTTTAGTTGTAAGCCCAGTGGCGATCAGCTCATCTGTCATTTGATCATACAATAACGCCATCGAAAATAATATACTACATTAAAGTACAAGTACTTCTGGGTCTTTGTGTGTCACTCAAGCTCGGCTCTGTGTGTGTGTGTGTGTGTGTGTGTGTGTGTGTGTGTGTGTGTGTGTGTGTGTGTGTGTGTGTGTGTGTGTGTGTGTGTGTCACGAGCGCATTTTGTTTGAGCGAGCGAGAGAGAGAGCGGTACCGGGGAATGTTGTTATTAGCATCTGGTTAGCTAGCTATGCTAACAAATATAAGGAGCTGTTACTACAGCCAGGTGGAAGAGAGCTCTCTCCTGACAGACTGAGAGGCTGATAACCTCAGCTCAGTGAGGTAAAGGCACACCTTGATATGATCATTATAGTTATAAAAAAATAAGAGAATAAATGAAAAATAGGTATAAAATACTATATGACAGTAAAAAGAAAGTTGTTATTAATAAACAAGAATACAGTTTGAAAGGGGAGTGATTTGTAAAATATCCATAAAGAAAAAGTAAATCTGCTTACAGGTCTGTTTCATATGGGTGTTGAGAGATGTATCCATAGATCTCCTAATGTTGCTCTCAAAGTGCACCAGATTGATGCTTTTAACTTCAACATTTAAAAACAAAATCTTCCCGGGGGAGCATCCCCCGGACCCCTCTAGAGGAGGTTAGGTCCCCCCCTACTTAAATCATGTTCATATACATTTGCACACATCTTGTGTGTCTATGCGCGAGTCATGGTAAGATATCTGGATTAAGAGGTTGCTTTTTCTTTGCACAGCATGAAAGAAAGGCCAAATGAATGGGCTGTGATTTTAGTTTTTTTTAGCAGAGGTTGAGGTCAATCATTTGTACGGCCCTCGGAGGATGTTGTGAAAATTGAAATGGCCCTTGAGAGGAAAAAGGTTCTCCACCCCTGCTTTATAGCTACCACTAGCACAGTCTATGTCTTACAAAATAATGATTGTTAACAGGGCCATGTGAGTGGAGTAGGGCAGTGTTCTGTAGCGCTGCATTTATGTGAAGCTGTACTATACCAAACAACTTTTTTTATACATTGAAAGCTTATTTTTAGATTTTTGGATGAAGCATTGAATGTCTCTCGTCAATATAATATAATCAAAAAATATTTAAGCAAAATAAATGTATATTAAAAAATACTCTAATTAATACTTAATAAAGTCATTCATGGGATTAGATGAGTTAGGCTAAATCCATTCTCAGTATCGATTATAACTAACAGTTCCTCCTCCTTTTTTGTGTGCCTTAAAGATGTTGTTTTTGAAAGTCTTAACGCTGACAAATATGGACTGAAGCAGAATATCTTGGTTAAACATGTGGTGTATTGATCTGTTCTCAATCAGTGTTTAAATCTGGACTTTACAGCGCTCTGGAATTATTGGAAATGTCTGAAACAATCCTACGCAGCCACTACCGGCATCTAATTCTACTTAGTATAATACTGATAACATTAGATTAGATAATGTGTCACACATGCTCTGTCAGGCTCACTTGTGGAAGGTGATCCCAGCACTACGAGTCTCACGGTTGTCCCGAGACTTGCAGCCGCCGGCTGAGCAATGTCTCGGCATCTGAAATGATACAGTGAAGAAGAAAAGTAGTTAGATTTGTTTTAGTATCAGTAACCTTTTTTAATATGATTTGAACACTCGGTACCACTTTAAAATAAGACTACCCTTACAAAGGATTCATAAAGGGTTTATAATTAGGTTATGAATTAGGTTGTAAACACTTAATTAATCATTAAGAACCATTTATAAACCAGTTCTAACATAGGCTCACTATTTGGCAAGATGACTGAGCCTTATATTGGCTTCTTAGTGAGAATCAACTCAGTGAGCAACAGATACCTAGGATGCTGGCTGATGAAGAAGACGAAGTAAGCTAAGTAGCCAATATAAGGCTTAGCAGTACAGATACATGTGGGCTCACTATTTGGCAAGCAACCGGTCACAGTTGCCCTGTTTATCTCATGTCTTATAAAAGCTTATTAATGATTTAAAAAGTGTTCACAACCTAATTAATAAATGAATTACAAACTATTCGTAAACCCTTTATAAGGGTACTCTTATTGTAAAGTGGTACTGAACACTGTTTGGTTGCTTCTGGAAATGAAGATGTATTTAAATTAGGGCTGTCAGTCGATTAAAATATTTAATCGCGATTAATCGCATGATTGTCCATAGTTAATCGCGATTAATCGCAAATTAATCGCACATTTTTTATCTGTTCTAAATGTACCTTAGAGGGATATTTTTCAAGTTTTGAATACTCTTATCAACATATGAGTGGACAAATATGCTTTATATGTTTGTTTATTATCATTTGAACAATGACAAATATTCAACAACCTCTGAACATTACAAATATTCGCCTCAATTCAACCTGGAACCTCTCTCATACAATACTGTGTGTGTGTGTGTGTGTGTGTGTGTGTGTGTGTGTGTGTGTGTGTGTGTGTGTGTGTGTGTGTGTGTGTGTGTGTGTGTGTGTGTGTGTGTGTGTGTGTGTGTGTGTGTGTGTGTGTGTGTGTGTGTGTGTGTGTGTGTGTGTGTGTGTGTGTGTGGGCGAAATGCCGCTCCTCTGTTTTCATAACTGTCAAAGCATGAGACTGAAGTTCCCACTGTGGGTCAAAATAATGCGCTGTGACCCCGAGGTAACTCATTACTGAGTGAAGTCCAATAGTCTCCGGTGAGCGCAACTCTGGAAGTCTTTCTTAAATCCTCCTCTACTTTCACTTTTTGGACTTCATACAAGTTGTGTATTTTCGACACAGTGGTGGCTCTGGAAGGCAATTCATGAGTGCAGTCGTTGGATGCGACCCGAATTATATCACGCAGCCCCTCGTCCTCCACAATGTTAATTGGCCTGCAAGCTGTCGCCACCCATTTAGCGATCTTTGTTTGAAGTTTGCTGCTCGTAGACGTGTCCAGGCGTCTCCCCTGCACACTTTCAAGTGTGGTCTGCCGCAAGCGGGCGGCAGGAGCGGGGCTGTCGGCATCAGTGTGCTTGGATTGTGTAGATGGTATTTTAAACTCGATGCGCTCTGAAACTACGGGGCGGCCGAGGACAAAAAATGCACATGCGTTAATCGCGTTAAAATAATTTGTGGCGTTATTAACTTGACAGCCCTAATTTCAATTAATTCCTTTGTTTTCCGTGTAAAGTAACAAATGACTAATTACCTCTGTCCATGGTGCGCTCAAAATACCCACATTAATCAGCCCTGTTAAAACAATTTCTAATGGAGTGGATCAATACAGTCAATGTCTTTTAGAAATCATTTTTGGTGAGATGCCTGAAATAAGGTCTGTGGTTAACATAAGCACAACAGATTATGTTCTACCACATTAAATACGCCAGTAATTACACAAAGATTGTATTTTTCTTATATTTCAAAATTCAAATGAAAAGTCCCATTGCTTTTTGTAGAGAAAGCCTGTGCCCTGCTAAGTTGGTTGGCTTATAAAAGTACATCATCACTGCACCACTGAATAAGTCACATTGCCATACCTTAAACAATGCCCTAATAACGGATATTCTTTATAGTTGCAGTCCATCCAAATATTTTCCAATCCATGACTATATGGCCATTGTCTTCATCGTGCTAACTACTTATTTAATTATTAGTCTAACAAAATGTCCCATTGAAATGTGTACATTCACAAAGAAAAAAGGTTCATGTCTGTAACATTTATCTAATACGCTCACACCATTGTCTAGAATTTTCCTCTCAGATCCCCAATTATCTTTTTTAATAATGTTTTTATTTTACATTGTTTTACTTTTCGTCATTATGATGCGATCGATTTGTTTTTGTGTTATCATCACTTAATAACCATAGTGGTTTGTAACTAAGTACATCTACTCAAGTACTGTACTGTAAAAAGGTGTGGTACTTGCGTATTTTCACATTTTGCTCAACTCAACTACATTTAATTTACAGATGTAGTTACTATCTACTTTGCAGATTTAGATTTATATTGAAATATAAATCTGCTTAGACATTATCATATATTATTATAGGCTAACCAGTAGTATATAAATGAATTCAAATAAACCCCACTTTTAACAATTGCAACATTAAAGTGATGAACACATTAATGCATTAATCATTACAATACAATAATTTAAAGTGTAAATTATAAAAGTATGGTGTTTATATGTGCCAGTCTGAATCATGGATGTATAATAAGAAGGTAGGGTTGGACTATCAGGTTCTCCAGCAAGTTATACTTTGATGCTAATATGTGTAAAAAGTGTCCTTTTACTTGAGTACAATTTGTAATGCAGGACGTTTACTTGTAACTGTGTATTCCTAATCCTACACTGGAGTATTGCAACTTTTATTTGGAGTTAATAATATGAGTAATTTGTCCAACTCTGTTAATAACACTGTTGACTTGTTTGTATTTTCGGCATTTTATCAATAAAGTTTTCTTTTCTAAAAAAAACGTTGACGTTGTGTCTTTAAATCTCAAAAGGTTGGCTCGGTAAACAGACAGACGAACAGTAGCCTGTCTAGTACAGCACAGTACAGTACAGTGTAGTACAGTACAGCACAGTACAGTGTAGTACAATTTAGTATAGTGTAGTACATCATAGTGTAGTACATTGTAGTAGGCTACACAGTGTATTAGGCTTCGTGCAGTGGATAGAGCAGGCAGGGGAGCGCTGTGTTTCCGGTTGGATGTGAGCCTCAGAGAGACTCCTCCTTAGCATTACCTCTGAGTTTTTTAAACAACTTTAGATTATTAACGCACATTCGCTTCTGAGACATTATTAGTATTTAGCAGGTATTTATCAGTAACGTTAGTGCAGCGCAGTGGCTTCCTGAAGCTACGCAGTTTTGCCACAAGCTAGCAGGGAGCTAGTGAAAGCTAAGCCGTTGTAAATATTATGAACCCCTTTGCAATCTTTCGGCTGCTACGCAAGTTCAATAAACCCTGGAGCAGATGAAGATAAATAAAAACTAAAGATATTACCCTGCACTGCAGATTTCGACCTCACGAAGATGGCTGATTTCTTCTTCTTCCACCTTCTTCCGCCTTTTTCTCCTTCCTCAATTTTTTGTATAAAACTTTATTTAAAGCATAGGCCTACACTTGAAGGAAGAAAATAACACGCATTATAATGGTATGTTATAATTATATAGCCTGTAAAGAGCTTTGTATTTTCAACCAAGCTTATCAAATAAACTACAAGATACAATGTCACTATTTATTGCAAATTCTTTTTTGTAGTGCACCAGTTCTTTGTTATATGAGCCCACAGTAAAATCTTGATTTTTGGCCATCTTAGATTTATTATTGCCACTTGTCTTGGGGATTATTGTTATCGTACAGCACTCAGTGTCAGTCCAAAAGAAAAAGAAAAGAAAACTAGCAAACAGAAGTTATAAACTATTCTACAACCATTACAACATTTACCCACACAATACATTCATGAATGTGATTGATGAATTTTAAAAACAGTTAAAACCAGTCTTTGAAAGACATTTTTAGCCCAGCCAAAATATAAGTCCTTCAAGAAGAAACGACTCTTTCATATCCATATGGCCATGTAAAACACAACAAATTATTAACTAAAATTGACGTTATAAATGGGCAGCACCTTTACTGTAATCATTGACCCCACAAAAATGGATTTGACAAATTGTTCCACGATGCTAAATTATGTGATTGAAAGCAGTGTTCAACATGATTACATAATGTGTCAATGCATCATGCTTTGCACACTGTTACTCCAATTACTGTCAGCCATCACCATCAGATCATCACGAGAAACATTGTCATTCATTTATTTTGACAAAGATAAAAAAAAAGGTATAAGGTCTCATTAATGAAATGGTTATATTTAAAAAAAAAGAAGAATATATTTGTTCTTTCTTATGATCCATTTAATCCATAAAGTAAAACACACATTTTTAAATTTGCATTTGAATGAAATTAAGTTGTAATAAGCTTACAAGTTAAAGGTGGGGTATGTAATTTATTTCAGAAACACTTTTTTTGTTATATTCCATGGAATGCTCTTAACATCCCGATAGCAATGAATATATTAAATGCTTTGACAATAAATAGATTAAAAAAATTCATCTGTGGAAGCCGTGGCGCTGTAAAAAGCACGACCAATCATCTGAGCCGGCCCGGCTAAAATAACTGGATGGCCTACCTGCCTGTCAGCCTTCCATCTGTGCACAAACTTATCTCGTGTCCTCATTGGTCATGTGCGCGTTCGTGTGTGTTGGAGGAGGGGCTCTGTGAGGAAGTGGCAGATTTTTTCCGGTTGTGTATTTTCAAATTCTAGCGCACTTGAGCTGGTTTCTCCAAAATTACCTACCCCACCTTTAAAGCTCCCATGTCATGCTTTTCCGGTTATTACCCGTCCCCTTGTGTGTTATGAAGGTTTTTATGCATGTAAACGGTGTGCAGAGTCAAAACCATAGACTGTATATATAAATGGACGTAGGGTCCGTGACGTCACCCATAGGATTCTGCAGAGTTGCCGAGAAGCAAGTAGGCAAGTAGGCGGAGTCGGCCACTAACGGCTCGACAGTGACGTCTGAGTCTAACTCCCGCCTGCTCCAAATAAGGGCAAAGAGGCGGAGCCGAGGCGGGACCTGCTGCCTCCAGCTGGGAAGTAACAGAGCTAGCTCAAGCTAAGAAGCTAAGCTAACATGCTTCCCCATCTGCACACTGCCGTCACATTTTACGTTTCTAAGGTAAGCGGACATGAGACTATTCAGCAAAACTATAAATAATAATCTAAGTTATTGAGTTTTTAGCATAATACTTCAGAATCTTAAAATCCCTTAACGTTTGTATGCAATGTGCTAAATGCAACACTGGAATCAAGCAAATTAATATGTTTGCATGACATTAGTTATTTATATTTTGCTATCACTTAATTATACGTTTAATACATTTAAGTCAAGCAGTACATGTGATGGTAGCTAGTTAGTGCTCTTACCTGTGAGGCCTCCTCCAAACCGCATTATAACCAGACTGTATCATTAAAACTATAAGTACCAGTTCTAGATCCTTGACTTTAGACAAACAATTCAAAAGACAAAATGTATTTAAAGACCAATCTTTATTTGAAGGTGCCTCTTAACCTGAGATATTAGTTATACAGTAATAGTATTGACAATCGAAAAAAACTGAGCAACTCAACAGTCAACTTTATATTTCTTATTGTCTAAAGCATTTATTATTTTCATTTTCCCCCTCTCATATTCAGTGTGGACGGATTGAGACAGCGTGGTGTCCAGAGAGCTGCAGAGACTTCAGGGAGAAACCTCCGTGTGATGGACGTCCAGTCTGTTGGTTTGGAGAGGACTGAGGGTCTTTCCTCTGCGAGGAGGACCAGGCCTGATGGAGGAGCCCATGCTGGGCATAGCTGATACCAACTGCACAGGCCTTGTCTGTCACTTTATTTGACTAAATGTGTTTACTTATACATTTAATAGGTTTACACCTTCTGTCCATATGTGCTTTTTTATTTAAAACATGTTTGATTAACTTGGTTCAGATTTCAATAAATTGAATTTGTATTTGCACTCCTTTTGTCCATTATTCTTACTGAAAATGTTAGATTACACATTCACATCTGACTGAAGATTGGCCCCATTTATTTGTGACGTTGCAAACTCTGCGGTACAAGGTACAGGTGTTGTGAAGCTCATAAAGTGAGGCAAATAGAATTAATCAGCTGATGGAGTGTAGATGTGGAAATAGGTGCATTCGATCAGCTGACTTCACAATAAAAGTAGTTTCTTAGTGAATGTCCTGTACTGGTCTTAAAATCTCATAACATCAGCTTTTAATTTTCCTCTTGGATGTTCTTCTTGACCCTCAGAGAAGGAGAAAATGTTGAGTCGTGTCTTTCAGGCATGTCCTTTCCTAACAAAAATTACAGGAAACATAAAACATATTATTGCAGAACAAGTGTGTTATTTATGAAAGAGGTGTGCTTGTGTTTAGGGGCTGTAGATATAATTATTTTGTAATTGTAATGTTTTATTTTATTTCAACAGTGAGCTACAAAGACAATCAGATTATGAATGAACAGTATGACATTCATCAACATTGAAATATATTTTATTATCAAAATAATATTTAACTGTTATCAAAACTTAGTGCAACTGTAGAAGCTTGCTCTGTTCTCTCACTGAAATCATAACTTTTACCACGTTTTTTACAGACAATATTGAGAGATAAATAGCAGTTGTCACTAATAGCTTTGCCTTCAATACCTTAAATTAGAAAGCTGACAAAGTCATATTGCTTGTTAACATGTAACCCTTTGCATGGAAAAAACCCTCAACTTCACTGATGTGTAGGTATCTAGTATTTAGTATTGTTTAATGGAATGTATATCAGTGTATTAAAGTCAATACTTCATTTATTTAAACCAATATCTTTCTTGATTCTTTGTACAGTATGAAAAAAGAGTATTTGTACCTGTGCTGAAGTTCACTGCTGTGAGGAGTCCAGTTCTGTCTCTCACTCTCTGGTCCAGCCTGTCTGCATCACCTGGGCACTTTAAACAAACAGATATATATGTAAAGAACCATGTGTACAAACAATATAACTTATTCTCTTCTGTTGAACATGTTGGATTGTGTATTGTCCGAGTCAGGGTCCTTTTTACTTTACTGTAACTTTGGAAGTTGTGTTACCAATGCTTACTATTTATTTGGTACCAATTTGGTAATGCAATTAATAAAAACAACAACGTTTGGGTTCGTTCTTCAGATGACTGTGACGTTAACGTGTAAGCTCAATAATGAACTCCAGCTCAACCAACCATATTGTAATATCTAAGTAATCATCTTGAAATATGAAATTAATAATTGTAATATACACACATCTTATTGTGAGGTTGATTTCACATACACTACTTCGACGTTAGCTTGTCTACATACTTGAGCATAGCCAATTTAAATTAACCTTAGCGATGCATACAGTTCCTACCTACATAATAAAATATCTCTCTAAGTTTCAAGGATGACCTTATTTTATCAACCTAAAACAGAAGCCTTTTGTTCTACAGTACTATCTCACTTAACGCTTAACACTTGTCTATTTCATTTTAACCTTTATATATACAGTCTATGGTTTTAAGTTAACTTGGAGGATACGATTAGCATCGTTAGCACCGATGTAGCTACCACTCGCTTACACGCTAACCCAAGCCTTAACATTCATTACGTAGCTGATTAAAATCATAAACACATAAATAAAGTACTCGAATTTCACTTAACGCAAAACGGCATTCATGCACCGTCTGTTTTAACCGCAGAGCGAGTCACAATAGTCCGATATATAAGCATGAAGAACAAACAAACACGGCCGGGGTCAAGTTGTGTTCCCTGGATGAACTGGGCAGGCAGAGTCCCTGTAGCTTCACGGAGCAGGCAGCTAGCAGAGAGACAAGAAGCTAACAGCAGCAGTCACTTGACAGAGCTGTCACTCAATGTGACCACGCCCTAATTTATGCAAAAACTTTAAGACCTAATATAAATAAAAGGGTCATGTTAGAAAAATAAAAATAAATTCACTCACAGATCCATAATCATGAAGGTGGAATCTAACTATATCTATAATAATATTTATTGGATCCATGGGTAGAAACATGTTTTTTTAGGCTGTAAAATTGGGTATTTTAACATGGGGGTCTATGGAAATTGCTCCTTTCTGCAGTCAGCGCCTATCGGCCAATATATGAACTGCAGTTTGTGGCACTTCCGTATTGGCGTCCCGGCTCTTCCCCAGAGTTTGCCGCTTGGTCAAAACCCTCAAAGTACACCCTGTAGCGAGTAAAACTCTAACACAGAAAATACCTCCCCAAAACGCCGCGTTGGAGATACGTCACTGCCCATTTGATTCTTCCGGGTACCGCCTGATGTCATGCGGTACCCGGAACGAAATGGACCAATCCCGAAGAGCTATGGCCACACCCAGCGGCGCTGGCCGCACCCTCTGCCAGCCTAACATTTACTGTTGGAAGCTCTGGTTCAGTTCACAATCATCCAGTCATGCCACTGCCAAGGACCTGTTTCCTGAAATGTGAGGAGAAATCTGAGCTGTTTGTCCTACCGACGGAAGAA